TGTAGCATTATTATTATTTACATGGTACCATCCTAATTGCTGGGAAGTAATCATTCCCCGTTGTTACTGCTGGAGCCTTGAAAACAAAGTCCATATTCTTTGAAGCAGATCATCTATCCAAAGATATTGAACTGATGACACCAAAATAGGTAATTAAATAGTGCATACACCAAAGAGAGAGAACCTAAACCTTAATGCAACTATGCAGTTTTTCTTGTTCAAGATACATACACAACTTAGTTCCCAAAAAAAAAGGAGAAAAGTTAGGGATCATGAAAATTCTTTCATGAAAATGATCATGAAAGAGTTATGATCCTTGGATTACCTTGATTAGTGTGTGGTGTTTTATTCTAAGTATAATCCAAGGGTCACAAAGCTTTCATGATTATTTTCGTAAAAGATTTTTCATGATACCTAGCATTGCTGGAAAAAAAAAGGAAACATACACAAAGCAACTGAAAATCTAAAAAACTTATTTCCACTTTAACCTTCACTCACTGCTGCTCACTGCTCACTAAAGGCACCTTTTCATATCCCTCTGCCTCCCTAAATCTCCTGGGAAGGATACATCGGCCTCCAAATTGCTGCTGGAAGAAAATGATGGCTGCGGACAACACTCCCCCACAAGGAATTATGAAATCCCAGAAGTGGAATAGAAATCAGCGCTAGGATTCGCATAGAAGTATAAACCATGAAGATGGCAACAAGCATAGTTTTGAGCCCTGTAAAGATCGTATGCATGTGGCAACAAGTGAACAAAGGTGGTTCCGATGTAGAACGAATGAGACAGGGCACTTTCCTTTGAAAATCTAAATGCGTTGAGGAGAACTTGAGGAAAAAGAAACCCATCAAGGATCAATCCACCATACGACCTCAAAACCCCCCCAAAGTGAGTGTTGTTGGTGAAGAAAATAACCTATTACAGTGCTTTGGTTGTTCTTCCTCAGATTCATGAGCCAAGTAATCAGTAACCTAACAATGTATAATGCTAGAGACAAATAAAATCTTCTTTTCAGCAATCCACAGGCTCTTCTGGTTTTCATCTCCTAAACGCAATGTCCACACCAGTTGGAGAAGCCGGAATTGAAGCAAGAATCCAGTATCTCTTTAACATCAAAGACACATTCTACTGCAGCATGTCGTGATGCTTGCTCTTCTGGAGTCGGTGACAGAAATTCGCAAAAATCCAATATCTCTGTAACATCCACAATCAAACAATAAGGATACATTTCCACTGTTGTATTATTAAAATTGGTAGAGACATTTAAAGAGGTCACTAACTCCTCACATTCATTGCAGTTGCTTAAAATCATAAAACATTCAACCCAAATATACTTAAACAACTGTAGTTGATTCAACAACAATTGTTGCTGGACCAAGAAACAAGCCCTTGGCATTAAAGAGTACTAGTGTTTCACCCGTGCTATGCACAGGTTGCATTTATCATTATTTGTATGTATGTGAATTATGATTTTTAAATGTCTTATTCTTTTTTTTTTTTTGTACACAGAAAAAATATATATATAACAAATGCCGTATATCTTCAATCAATTATTTTATGTTTACTTTTATTCAAAATTCAAAAATAATGTATGGGCAAAATTTATAACTAAATTAAGGAAAAATTTATTTCTAACAATATTTTCACTTCTATATAAATACTTAAAAAAATTAACCTAAAAAAAGTAGTCAATATAATATTATACATTAAGGAAAAAAATGTGATTAGTAATTATGCTTACATAAATTTACTATAGTTTTAATTTCAAAAAAAAAAAAAACACTATTTTAAAAGCATTTTATTTAGCTAGTACCAAATAGAATTTTTTTAACAAAAAGGAAAGTTATAAAATTTTATTGCAAATTTTCAAATGTCTATTGTTAAACATTCTATACTACTTGCTTGTTTGTTTACTTGCTTGATTTGGGAGTTTTAATATTTGATCTTTGCTCCATATTCATCGTTTTGTTTTTTTATTTTTCTTCTTACTTGATTTTCGCATGATACTTCTTTCATAGTACATCTCTGAATGTATTAGTAAAAATATCATACACTTAAAATGCACTAAATTACAATATTTAGAGAGAAAAAAAAGTAAGTAATTGCCAAAAACTAAAAGTACTTTAAGAAAAAATAAAAAAATAAAAACAAAATGAAATTGTTTGAAATAGAAAATGATTTACTTATTTATTTATTACTTTATAAAAATAAACTTTTATAGAAAACAAAGAAAACTATATATAAAAGAAAGTATAAAAACTAAACATAAAATATAATACAAAAATTAAATGAATTATAGGATTTTCAAGAAGTAAAACTCACAAATGAATTTTGTAAAATCTTATCTATTCATATACTTTTCGTTAATGTTTTTTGTACTTCTAATCCTGAGAATGACATTGAAATATTCTACACTTCTTGCATTAGGTTCATTTTACAGTTTTAGCAAACACAAATGTAATAAATTTCATAACACAAAACATAAACAATTGTGAGACAAAATATCTAAAAAAAATAAAAGCAATGTTCAATGATGATGTAGAAGCACAAATGACATTTTAATTGGAGATATAACCAGATAAATAACCATAGAAAAGGAAGAGAACCTTTATTTTTCATCACAACAATTACATAACTCAATATATAATTTTAATGTCTTTCACTCTTCAACACTTCCAATTCTCTATCAATTTTAAAATGAATCCATGAACCAAAAAAAAGAAACATTTGAAAAAACGAAGAAATGTGGTTTGAGACATTTCAATTGTTGAATGCTATTAATTAATAGTTATTAGGTTTCAATGGTCGGGCTTCTAATATTTGTTAGCCATTAAAGTTGAGTTCTTTGATTTCATCTATATTCACTTGATAATTTGAGAGTGGATACGTGTTAAGCCTTTACACAAACACTTGCCACATTTTTTGAGCATCATTAATGAAATCCAAAGTGTAATTTTTTTCCTCACTTTTTTGGTTTTTTTTCTTTTTTCTTTTTCTTTTTTTTTTCTTTTTTTTTTTTGCAATTGTAACCTAATATTTTTTTAAAGAATTTATATTTGTTTTAGATAATTTTTTAATATACAAATGATTTTTAAAAAAAAATTACAAAAATAATTTAACAATCTTATCACTAACCATAGTGTATGAGAAAAATTGAAAAAGATGTGGCGGTAGATACGAGAGAAGTCAAAAAGACTTGAAAAATTTAGCCAAAACCCTTCCATTGGATCCTTGTTTAGTGAAAAGGACATCCCAATTATTTTGTTTCATAAACCCCCTAAGGGAAAAACACAATAATTGAGTAAGGACAAAGTAAAATATCTTTTTTTTTTTTTTTTTCTTAGACAATATTGACAGAGTAACATGTTACTGTCAGGCAAAGTAACATGTTACTGTCAGGCAGAATAACATGTTACTGTCAAAAAGAGTAACATGTTACTGTTACTGTTATTGTTTACATCAATTTCAACAACAATAATTTTTATTTTTATTTTTAAGAATTTCATAGTCAATATGGATATTATTTGACAAATTTTGATGAAAGAATTCTAAAAATACCAATTTTATTACAAACTAACATCTATATCAAAAGTTATATTATATTAAAGTTTAATATTTTGATAACAATCATATGTATTAAACTTTTCAAGATTTTTTTTTTATGCTTGTCCTTAATATATTAAAATTTTATTATGAGGGAGTTTTGACCAAATCTCCTAAAAAGATTGTAGGTTAGGATACGTTAATAATTGATGAGGGTTTTTTTTTTATATATATCAAAAAATTAAAAAATTAAGATTGGGATATTGGAGTTCTCACAAGACTTATAAGTTAAAAATCCTATTTTCCTTATATAATATATAAAAGTCATGAAATAATTAAATAAAAATGAAAAATAGTTGTCTAAGAACTCGTTTGCCAACTATACATTTTAGTCAAAAAATTACTATAAATTATCACATCACTCTCTATTTTTCTATATATATTTTCATAAAAAACTAAAAAATTACTAAAATACTATATTTGCGGGCAAATTACAAACACCCCCTCGAGATTTGGTGAAAATACAGATTCCCTCATGAGATTTGAGAAATTACGAATTTGTTGGCTTTTTGGCTTTTCGAAGGGTATTTTTGTAAATGTGAGCGTGCCAGCAAGGATCAATCAGTCCTTACAGAAATTGTGATTGCCAACCAATTATCAGACGATTGTGTTTTAGTTCTTTTCAGCCTCAATGAAGAGGACTTTTACTGGTGGCTTGACTTAGGAGAAATTAAGAGAAATAACAGTAATACGAAGAACAATTGAAGTATTTCATAAAAATGAACACTTACAACGGTCCGAACTCAGCCTCGGAGAGGTTTACAACAGCAATCTACTTGAATCTACTTGAAGCTACTCCTATGAATCGAAGTGCAGTGCTGCTATTTAAAGTGCAAGTATTTAAAGAACATGTATTTAAAGACTGGGAATGTAAAAGACTGGAAAAGAAAAATATATGAAGTAAATGACTGGTTTGTATGATCTGAGTCCGTCCTCTTTTCTGGGGGCTGTCCTGCTATTTATACTCGTCAGTGATGACCTTCGAATTGCACTTTGACCCGTCGAACTGCTCCTCCATGATCGCTGATCATGCTTCCTTACAAGTAGCTCCATTACGCCATTACTGGCAGTTGAGCTTCCCTCTTGTACTTGGATTTGAATATGAGTAACCGTTGAAGACACGTCATCTTGCATCCCGTTATTTGATCTAGTGTTACTCAGATCATGTGAGGACCAATAGTTATTGCCACATGTACGATCAGGATTAAAGGCTTGAATAACCTTCCTTTATTACCCTTACTATGCCACGTGTCGAACTGCAACTGGCTTTTACAAAATATGTAGCCAACAGTTACAATCCAAATTATTTGTCCTACAAATGAAATGAAATTTTATTTTATTTTTATTATAAATTTGTTGGAAGCCTTATAAGGTTATGTTAGTTACTTTTTTTTTTATTAGCATAAGGTCATGTTACTATGATCCTATTTTCAGCTGATTTTGTGCCAAAACAGAGCAATATTATTTGATTTAACTATTTTTTTTATTCATCTTATAAACAACTTAATATTGATTCAATCACAGGCATCGTAGGACGTGAAAATGAAATCTTGAAATTCATCCCAGGATTTCCAGAGCTACGTCTCGGCGACTTGCCCGGTGGAATCCTGTTTGGGAACTTAGAGTCACCTTTCTCAATCATGCTGCATAAAATGGGACATGCATTGCCTGAATCAACAGCTGTTGTAATCAATTCCTTTGAGGAAATAGAGCCCGAAATCAACAAAGATCTTAAAGAGCAATGCTAGGTATCATGAAAAAAAATTTATGAAAATGATCATGAAAGATTTATGACCCTTGAATTATACTTAAAATAAAGCACCACACACTAATCAAGATAATCCAAAGATCACAAATCTTTCATGATCATTTTCATGAAAAAAATTTCATGATCCCTACCTTTTCTCGATCTTAAATCCAAGTTCTCCAAATTCCTCAATGTCGGCCCCTTTAATCCCTCAAACCTAACATCATCGTATTCAGACAAGTATGGCTGCATATCGTGGCTAGACAAGCAAAAACCCGAGTCTGTAGCATACATCGGCTTTGGAACGGTAGCGAAATTGACACCTAATGAGGTGGTGGCGTTGGCTGAAGCATTAGAAGCAACCGGTACTCCATTTCTTTGGTCCTTGGGAGACGACTTGAAAGAGCATTTACCAGAAGGATTCTTGAAACATACAAGCGAGCAAGGGCAAGTCGTGGCGTGGGCACCACAGGTACAAATTTTGGCACATGCTTCAACCGGGGTTTTCATGACTCATTGTGGGTGGACCTCGGTGTTGGAGAGCATTGCAGCTGGTGTACCAATGATATCTAGGCCGTTCTTTGGGGATCAACATATCAACACATTGATGTTGGAAAATGTGTGGAAAATCGGTGTTGGAGTTGAGGGTGGAGTCTTCACAAAAAATGGGACAGTGAATGCCCTCGAGCTAGTTTTGTTGCACGAAAAAGGGAGAAAACTGAAGGCACAAATTGGTCACTTCAAAGAGCTTGCTCTCAAGTCTATTGGACCTAATGGGAGCTCATCTCAAAATTTCAATACTCTGATAGAGGTGATTACAGGCCTCAACCTTTGAAAATGCTTGGAAGAACTTACTTGGGGCATTATTACTATTTTGCTTTTGGGAGAAACTATTGTATTGTATTAGAGGTGTTCATTCTATCATCATCATCATCTTCATATGATTATTAGTTATGGAGTTTGTAATAATAATGGGTCAAAAATGTATAATTAGGTACGAATCTTTATGGTATAAGCTCCAAAAGTTTGTATTACAAACAAAATAGAGCTTTGAGGTTTTATAATTAGACACCAAAATTTGTGGTTTTTTGATTATGGAGATTTGTGATATGATTTGTTACAAGACTTTGTGGCGGCGTTGTTATAACCTTTTGTGGTTTTAGTTACGATATATTCCGATGAAGTTAATAGTTATGTCATAACCTAGTAGTTATGATGTAGTATTATTTTGTGGTGTAAGATTGTGAATTCAATTCCTATGGAGAAAATTTTGATATTTATGATGTTTATTGGATTATTTAAATGAAGACTCCTAAACTGTTAAAAAGTATTACTTTGACCTCTAAATTATGAAAATGTACAAATGAACATTGAAAAATATCACTTTGTCTCATAAATTATAAAAGCATACAATTTGATCTTCTAACGGAAGGGGTTAAAGTGAAACACGCCAATAGTAGGGGGTCGATTTGTACATTTTTATAGTTTAGGAGGTAAAACGATATTTCTCAATAGTTTAGGGGATGTATTTGTACGTTTTTATAATACAAAAAGTCGATTACTTTTCAATAGTTTATGAAATTTCCATGTAAATAATCAATTATTTTTTCTTTCATTATGGGTTGTATGTAATTGGTGGTATTTGTTGGGTTTAGACTTGGTGATTGGTTGTTGGGCTAGTTGTTATTGGGATAGTGGTTAGTTTGATATAATATCTTTCATATTTGTAATTACAAAAAAAAAAAAAAGTATTTTCAGTATCAGTCTCGTGATCCCCATCCTCGTCGTGACAGGGAGATAAGAGCCAATGCACTGAAGCTTCAACGGGCAGAGGGGCCAGAGACATCCCAGATTTACTAGGAATTTGAATGTCATCATCAGCATTGTTGGAAATGTTTGATTTACCAAAATTAGAATCATTTTTTCCTACAGTAAGTAAACCTCTAGCTCTGCATTTTCTCCTATCAGTCACCCCAGAAATAATATGCCCAGCGCCGTAACAAGCAGGCGTTGCTGAAGACACCAGCGAAGATGACCCACATTGAATCTCTGGGGAGACTGAGGCCTCAACAGGAGGAGTTGTAGTAGTAGTAGTAGTAGTAGCTATTGCTATTGAAGTGGAATCATCTTTCGTAAGCTTATCATCAAATTCAAATTCAAATTCAAATTCACATCCCAAAACAGGAACACATGCTGCTAATTTACAAACAGGAGTAGTTGTAGAAGTATTTTCAACAAAACCAGTGGTGAAATCAGATAAAATTAGGGGATTGGAGGTCTCACCTGATTCATCAACATCATCGACCATCATCTTCTTCTTGTGCTTGAAATCGTTAACAGACACAGCAGATGTCGAATCAACTGAGCGACAACAACCAGAGGTCAAGCCCCAACCAGTAGAGGGTTTTGGTTTTAGGGCAATTTTGGAATTGGGTTTCTTCCCAGACCGCTGCAACTGAGGGTTTTTCTTTGGTTTCTGGTTTTGTGAAGTAGTGGGTTTTGCTTTCTCGGTTTCTCTCATTCTGTGTAATGTAATGGTGCTCTCACTGCTCACGTCTCTTCCCTTTGATTCGGCCCCACGACTGACTCGCCATCAACATTTCACATCAGATCTCTCACCCATTTTCAATTGGCATTGAGATTTGGGATCAGAAAATATGGCTTTGCTTCCAAGCTTAAACAGCTAAACAAAATGCAATTTACAATTCATAATGCATTGCCGTTATGGATCCGGAAGTTCTCTGTAGAGAAAGTCGGGGCATTTCCAAAATATGTCAAAACACTAAATCAATTCCCAAACTCAGCTTAGTTTTGAAAGAATTTTTAAAATAGGTTAAATCGTAGTTGTGAATCACGATTTTAATATATGTGCGTCTGTCTCGCGTAGATAGGAAATCTTAAAATTATGGTTACAAAATGCACTTTTAATTAATTTTTTTTTCTTCTGAAATCGCTGTTATGAACCACGATTTTATTCAAAAAAAATTTTCTTCTGAACTTGTGAGGCCCCTGACTTTTTTTGTAAACCTTATTAGGTTCCTAAATTTTGAATTATTATAATAAAGCTCTTAGTTCGTCGATTAATCGCAAATTAAGCCCTAGGACTGAAAACGCATCACGGGCGAATCCATACAAAACCCTAATCGATCCTGGAAGCTTAGAAATCACTTCTAACACTATAATATTAATTATTTAACTCTCAAATTTTAGATTAATTGCTCTAAATCTTAACTTTCAATTTTTACAATCATCGTTCGGTAATTTACCTTTAAATTCAAAGCAAAATAATACAAACTGAATTATTTTACCCTTGAAATAGATACTTTAATTGAACCCAAGCCCACACATTTTTATTAAATCACAAATTGACCCCAAACAAGTACTATTATATATTTATATATATACACTTTTACCCAAAAATCTTTTTTAATAATATATTTTACAATTTCTAAGATTTGTACAAAATATATATATATATATATATAACATGTCTATCAATTCACCATCACATGGCTAGCCATCATACCCCCTAGATTATAATCATTGTACTTTAAAATCTCTTGAAATCTTAGAGCAATAATGACTTTGGTACCTATAAAGATTTGCTATATATATGTATATACTTCTAACTAGAAGATATTTACATTAGTCCTAGACCTAACTAGATCATAATTAAATATATCATTAAGGTTCTAATCCTCCTCATTTCATTACATTTAATGTGAAACCCCGGAAAAATGTATTTTCTTTAAAAAAAATAATAATAATAAAAAAAACCCTTACATTTGCATTATTTTCTTAAAACCCCTCAGTTCTTAAACTATTTCGAATCTTGCCAGATAGCATTTTTAATTTTTATCGGAACAGGAATTATACTAGCCGGATTAGGTTCCCTAACCTAATTTTATTTAATTCTACATAAGTAAGGTTCCAATACATGAGTTTAATTCCATGCCCTCACTTCTTTATTTAAATTCTAAATTTATCCCAAACTAGTACTTGTACCTTGTAGCTTGGTATACCATCAATCTTGCAATATATATATATATATGTATGCACCTTGAGGGATGTGCCCTTGTACCTAAAGTTAATAAAAAATAACCCCATCATCCTAGGGAGAAGAGAGGAGCCAATTTTCAATATATATCATCATGATATTCTAGGAAACCCAAACCTAGTACCCTAGACCTAGGTTGTTAATTCCAAAACTAGTTCCTTTCTAACTAATGTTGCCTAAATCATTGACCAAGCCTCCCAAATCCCTTCCATTTCCTTAGAATCCAAACAAATCCTAACATTTCCATCTGTACGGGGAGGAAATAATTCTCCTCGTATAATCCTGTTGACCAAGTCCACGCTTCTCCGTACGACGTCGCTTTGTCACCTGAAAACACAAACGTGAGCTAGCCGGCGGGTGTGTGCCGGAAACCTCTCCGATGCCTAAGTCAGAAAACTTGACAAATAGACAAAGCTCTAAGTTCTCAGAAAGATTATGTTCAATTACCTCCTCCAAGGTGATGTTTGTAGGCTTTTATAAGTTTCCCGTGGCACAATCCTAGTAGGACTTGTACTTCTCCATGCAGAGTCCTCCTAGGATTCATTCTCCTAAGGATAATGCTTATCCTTTTACACCCTCCCCACTGCTTAAACCAAGTGGGATGGTTTTCTTCATGGCCGAACTACCATATAGCCGAAATAACACGGGCTATGTTGAGCCACAGAGAAGGCCGAACTATCCTTAACTCGGTCTTCTCCTTTAACTCATTACTTCGGCTGTCCCTGTTCAGCCTTGGTATGCTTAGATCAGACTTCCAAGTAACAAGTTCTGACCGACCTAGCCAGAGTATGTCATGACCGGACTAACTCCGAAGCCGGTCTTCCCAGAACATACTGCGACCGGACTAACTCTAAGACCGGCCCTACTCCGAGTTGTCTCTGGACCGGAGTAGCCTTACTCTTCCTTGGGCCGAAGCAACTATCTCTTCTTGAGCCGGAATAAACTTACCTCCTTGGACCGAAGTAACTTTGTCTCCCCAAGGCCGGAGTAACCTTGCCCTCTAGGCCTGAGTATTCAGTACGGCCTTTTTACCTAGTCCTCTGCGTTTTGGGCCTCAAAACCCAACTCGAAGCTCGGCCCATTTTTCCCAAAAATTACCCTCTCAGTTAGGATTTAGAAATAAAAAGGAAAAAGTGAAGAAATCTGAATGAATTAAGCTAACTTTTTGCTTCATGATTCAAACATATATAGCGTGAAAGTAGTACATATTCGTTTTAGTTACAATTCGATATGTGCTTTTAAGTTACCACAAACCATATGAGATTATGTGCCCTTCTGAAAACTTGGTAAAAAGTCAATTTTTTAACTTTTTATCAAGTTCTTCCAAAAGTCACAAAAAAATCACTAAAAAAGTCAGTTTTTTGGCCAAAAAAATCACCAAAAAAGCTAAAAACTCAAAAAATCAACTTTTTACTAACTTTCTAAAACACCCCTATATATATAAATTGTTAGTAATGGGCGCCCATGTGGCATGACCATTAAATTTGATTTTGAATCCTTATCCAAATAGGTTTTGATTTTGAAATCAAACCTATTTAGGATAACCACTCTTGAAACAGACGTTATCAGTTTGAACTGATATAGATAGATATAATATATATTAGATATTATCTGTATCTTAACTGATATGGATAGATATTATAATATATTAAATATCTGATATGGTTATGGGTAATCAGAGAAAAAAGGAAAAATAACGTAGTCTGTTTTTCTACCCACATTCTGACTCTCTCCCAAAAATACACAACGATCAAGTCTTTGACACTGTGGTTAGTGTGGGTGATATTCAATCTGTGATATCACTCCACTGCTGGGTTGGTTCATCAAGAAGTTTCCTGGAAGCACGTGATTTATCCAAGAAGGTTCTATCATCAAGAAGGTATGATCTGATCATTTTAATCCGCTGCATATTCTGTATATTTTTTTTTTACTACACTAAGAATGTCAAGTTCATCTTCGATGAGGGCAAGTTTCCTACGTAGGACTTCTCAGTTCA